CCCGTCCAGTGGGCCAGCGGGGCCTTACTGAGCAGCTATTGCAGTGAAACGCTCTGAAACAGCAGCGGCAGCGGTGGCAGGCCGTTAGCGACTGTGATAGCTGCGGGGCGCGCGGTGGCGGGGCGGGGCGTGGCGCCGGGGCTGCATATGGCCCCCCGTGGGGGAGCTGAGCGGTGTCTTAATGAGCGGCCAAGTGCGTAGAAAGCTACTCACCTGCGGCCTATCGTATTGGCCTATCGGCCGTTGCACCACCACCGACTGCCGCCGCTGCCGCCACCACCACCACCACCACGGCGATGCACGCCCTGCCGCGTGGCGTGGCGTGCTGGCCCCTTTCGCCGCCATCACCCCTCTCGTGCATGTGTATCGTGCCAATGGCTCGGGTCGGGACGCCGCGCGAGCGCGCGCGCGCGCGCGAACTCTTCGCAAAATAAACTGTGCCGCTTTAGCGAGAGCTGCATTCTCCCCCCCCCTCCCCTCTCCCTTTTCCCTCGGCTTTCGAACTGCTTTCCTGTCGGCCCCGCCCCACTCACCCACCCCCTGCTGCCCCGCTCGCTCCCAGTCCAACCGATTTGCTTCTAGGCGGGTATACGGCTTTGGCTGCCAGCAGGACCGGGGCGACGACGATGATAGCACGCTGCCATCTCGGGGATGCGACGCTGCTGCGCGCCGCCGGACGCCCGGGAGTCAGGCACCCCCGTTGCGCAGCCGTGCGGGCGGGGTGCCTAGTTGGCACGCGCAGGCGCTCCCGCGCGGACGAGGAGGCGCTACTAGTACTAGCTCCATCCCGCTCCCGTCGTCGCGTCGGAACGCTGTCACGCTACGCGGCTTTCATGCTGCGCCAGCGGGCGCGGTCCGACTCGTCATCATCATCATCATCATCATCATCATCATCATCATCATGGTCATCATCATTATCATCGTCAGCGTCATCAAGCGTCAGCGCGCCGTTGCCCGGCCGCCCTGCCCTGGCCTTTCTCTTATTGTGATGTGGGCCGCTGCAACTGTGACGCCGCCGTCACCGCCGCGAACAGGGAGGGTATTTCTCCCCCCGTTGAGCATACCACCAAAGAAGATGTGTTATTGATGGGGTGGAAGGGGCGTGGCGGAGCGTGGCGGGGCGTAGTGGTGGGCGCGCGGGAATCTGGTGGGCGAGCGCGACATCACAACGTTCACCGCGTAAAAATTCTCTGGCCACGACTCCACTTGGTGCCAAACAGTTTTGGATGCCAAACTCTCGCTTACATTTTAAGCCTCGCTTTTAATGCGAAATCTTGGCGTTCTCTCATCCACGGGGAGGCGCAGAGGTTTTTCTAGTGTCGGAGGCGTCCGTTGGAGCGTCACACTGTATCCGATGTGGCCGGTGGGGCGGGGCGGGAGGCTGTTCTCTCTACGTAGTATCCCTGACCCGGGCGGGCCGGTCTGGTCAGGCTATATGGGCGTTGACGACCCGAACGTGTTGGTGTGGCCGCGCTGGGTGTCTCCTAGGTGCCCCTGGTCCGGGTTCACTACTACTACTCTTCGGCTAGAAGGTTTTAAACGCCCCGCAGAGGATGTTTTTCACGCGAAGCCGTACGTACGTGAGACTTACCATTCTGTGAGTGTCCTGGTCCGTGGAACGCTGGTTTCCACTCGACATTTTATTCCTGTCCACAGAAAACCAAGGGAAGAATATTATTATCGAGATACTTATGACAGTGTTTGTCGGTAAAAGGCAGGGGGGGGGGGGGTGATCACAGCTATATTCGTGACGTTCATTCCATCCGAACACGCCGCTGTCCGAAACACCACAGCACGACAGGAGAAGAAGAAAAAATATTCAAATAGCGTCCTTGTTTTTGGCCGGTTTGACGTACGCTGCTAGGTCGTCAGCAGCGCACACATTGGCCCTCTGCCCACTGCCTGCTGCTGGCACGGCCGGCACTGGGAGGCGGTCAGGGGCCTGGCCCCGCGCGCCCTGCCCCGCCACGCCCCGCCGCGCCCTCCTGCCCTGCGGCCCTCTGTCGGGGTCGGGGCGGAAGGGGCCCTTGAAACCACAGGGTCACCCGGCACGGGTTAGGCTATTCGTGGTGTACAATTTTGACAGGGAGAAGCTGGAAATTACGGCAAATTGCGGTTTGAAAGTGAGAAAGAGTAGTGTTTGTCGTATGGTCTAATGTCCTACTGTATTGCTGTAAACTAGTGACGGAAATGCGAAACGGTCAATGAAACGTTCATACTCAATCAAAAAACCGCACATTTTGCGATTTGATTATAATGCCTTATTTAAGCGTGTTTTTGCATCGGATTCATTTACATTTACATCGATATAGAAATCTCTAATGTTGTTTTCAACCGTCTTCTACATACTTTTAATTATTTTAGGTGAAAACCATTTTAAAATTTGTTTTTCAAAAGTGACCCAGAAAACTTGGTTTATTTTGGGTAAACACCTTCCCTGTGAAACAGCGCCTTTGTGCCTGCCGCTGCGCCACCCACTCGCGGCTCAGCTGGATTTCCCTCCTGGAGGTTCTTGACCGGCCGCCTGGAGTCCCTGGAGTCTGCTGGAGTGATGCGCCGCTGCGCGGCGGCGTTGCCGCGACTTTGTGTAGTTCCTGACCTCTTTCTGACCACACCGCGCCGCTCCGCGCCGCGGCGGCTCCCGGCCGTAGTAAAACTATGGGGCCGCGCGTAAAAAAAAGAAAGAAAAAAAAAACGAAAAAAAAAAACACCTACGATTAGTTCAGCGTTGTTAGGATTTCGAAATTTTAAAGTTCCCGCCCTCGCGCCGCTAAGTTGTGTTATTTTCACGGGTGCACGATGCTGTCGGTGGCTCGCGGGGTTGTCTGTAATAAGCATGTACAGTCACGCGTTGTTTCTATTTAGCGCGAGAGGGAGAGAGAGAAATAGAGAGAGAGGGTGGGAGGAGAGAGAGAGAGAGGCGGAGGAGGCAGTGAGAGGGAGAGTACTTGCTAGAGGCGGCTAGAACGTGACCAAGGGGCCGCTAGCACGTGAGCATAACAGTCTGGTCACGCCAAAGTCGTCAAAGTCACGAAAACGGCAGCCGCGGCGAATAACGAAAATTTACACACGATTTTTTTTTGTGTGGACGTGGTTTCACACGTAAATTCGGATCGTTTCGAATGCGCCACCGACGGACTATAGATAGATGTGCAACTGAAGGCGGTCGGGGTGTGGAAAGGTGTGGTTGCATCTGCGCTGTGGTCCGGCCGCGCGCCTGTCTGCGTCACCTGCTTTCTGAACTGGACGTGGTGCCGTGTCACTACGTGCCCTGCTCCCGCACAGACAGCCCCCCCCCC